TGAGGGTTCATACAAACCTCCCCAAAGCCACCAGCTTGGTTGGGACGGGGCGGGGGGAGTGGGTGTGTGCAGACAGGTCCATCCACAGCATGGGACCTCCAGGAACCCACCCTGGAAGCTCCAGAGACCCCGCAGGGGCCCCCCCACCCAGCAGCCCCTGGCTGGCCGCTGCTGGGCCAGGCCCTTCCAAGCCAGGGCGGCTGACAGCTGGAAGTGGGTGGGGAGCCCGAAGACAAACTCCTTTCATGGCTCCAACAGAGGGTGTTTTGTAACATTTTCCAGTGCGATTGGGTTTCTTGAGACTTCTTGGTGAGAAAACATGAAATGGAAGGAATATTAAACGACGGTAAGGAACAGGCTTCTACACAGTGCGAAGAAATTTCAGATGAAACAAAAGTCCTCTTCTTCCCCTCACAAACACTGAAGGCTCTATTTTGATCTCCTCTGAGGAAGAGCAGAACACTCTGAAGGAAAGAGACAAAGAACAGCCAAACAGCTTTAACTCTTGAGAGTTTCACAATGTTTCAAGGGGTGACACCCTCCCCGTGCAAGTCAACAATGATCTGAAGAAATGCAGCAGGCACCACCTGTCCCAGGTGTGAGGCCATTTCAGCACGGAGAGGCTCTTGGAGAAGCAGTGTTGGACCTGGGGGGCCCCTGGGGCAGAGGGAAGGGGCACAAAGGGGTCAAGTGCTCTGGAGGAAATGGCGTCTGCTTCATCTTTCACATTACTCCCTGCTCAGTGCACCTTTCTCTGGTTTCCTCTCGCCTTTGAAAATAAGTCACAAGTTTTTTTTTTTTTTGAGACAGAGTTTCACTGTGTTGCCCGGGCTAGAGTGCCATGGCATCATCCTAGCTCACAGCAACCTCAAACTCCTGGACTCAAGTGATCCTCCTGCCTCAGCCTCCCGAGTAGCTGGGACTACAGGCATGCGCCACCATGCCCGGCTAATTTTTTTCTATGTATTTTTAGTTGTCCAATTAATTTCTTTCTATTTTTAGTAGAGACGGGGTCTCGCTCTTGCTCAGGCTGGTTTCGAACTCCTGAGCTCAAACAATCCGCCCGCCTCGGCCTCTCAGAGAGCTAGGATTACAGGCGTGAGCCACCGCGCCCGGCCACAAGTTCTTCAAAGGGCTTGTGCACCAACATCATAGTTCTTCACTCTCTGGCCTGCTTGAGCTTTGGAGTCAACAGATCTGGTTTCGAATCCCGGCTCTGCCGGTTACTTTATTAGCTGTGTGATCTTGGACAAGTTAACTCCTCTGAATGCCTTAATCCCATTAATAAAGCAGAAATAACTGCCTGGAGAACTGTTTTGAGGCTAAAGTAAGAAAATGTGGCTAAGATGCTTAGACAAGACCTGGCACTGTAGAAACAGTCAACTAACAAAACAGTAAAGGCAAATGAAAATCTTTATGACCTGCTTCTCTCTCTAGCTTTATCTCTTGACATGTCCCAGAATGCAATCACCTAGAAAGGCTAAAGTGCTCACAGCGCTTGACATGACCCGTATAGTCTCCTGTTTTAGGTCTCCCACGCTTTCGTGTATTTTTCAGCACCAGGTACCTAGTTGTCCTATCTGCAGGGCAAACATTTGCCTAGAATTCCTGTTAATACCTTTCTTCAACTGGCAAGTCCAGTTTAAGGTGACCTCCTCCAGGAAGTCTGTCCTGAACTCCCAGTTGGGCTAAAGTCTCTTCCATAGCATCCTGTGCACACAGGCTTTGTGGTGCTTACCATGCAGGATTAAAACTGCTTGTGTGCCTTCCTCTCTAGACCATTATCAGCTCTTCTAAAGAGGAGCCAGGTGGAAGGCATCTTTGTGTTCCTATGCCTGGAACATGGTAGATGCTGGTTAAGGCTCAGCTCCTAAGTAAGGCCACACTTGCCCCTTGGCTGAAATCCGAATCCCAAAGAGTTCCCCTGACCCACAACCCTTCAGCGAAACCTCCTATTTCCTCCTCCTCCTGAGTCAAACCCTTCCTTTTGCCCCCAGCTGAAAAACAGAAGAAACTGGAGAATGGGGGGGCTTCTTGAAATTCTAGTTCAGCAAACTTACTGTTGTGCTTTAGGGCATTGGTACCGTCTCCACCTGAACTTGATCACGTGAGGCAATAGACAACCAATGCCATATCTCATTAGAGAAATGAGAAACTCAGTGACCCAGGAGCCTAGGGTACAATGGTGGGGGGGTGGGGCGTAGACCTGACATCAAGGGTATATGCACAGCCTCTGGCGACCAGCCCATAAGAGCTGTACCAATTTGCTTTTGTGCCACTCAGACATTAGTTTTTTTTTTTTTTTTCCACAAATGGATGAGGAACAACAGACATTAGCTTAAAGAAGGCAGGAAAGATGTTCTCCCCAAGTTCTTTCCTGTGGTTTTAGAATGGAACTGTCCCTACGTGCTAATACGGCTCCACAAGGGTTGCCTGGAGGAGCCCAAGAGTCTAGAAGGAACTAAGCAGCCATCACTCCACTAGCATCACTGGGGGGCTTGGACAGTGTCTTCTGGCCCAGGGTCAAAGATAGGGATAGGGGCTTATCTAGCTAATACTGGCCTCTCAGAAACAACAGGGCTGACTGCTGGGCAAGCCCAGGGCCAGGGCCAGGGGAGGACAACACTGACTGCCAGCACACCTGGAGCCGCGGCCCACTAGTGAGCACTCCACTCAGGGAGGCAGGAACCCCTTTTGGGAGGGCAACTAGCACGTGGATCTGCTTTGCCATCTGTGGGTGGCCCAAAGAGAAGTCTTGCTGGGTAGGGGTGTCCTTCTCCCTGGGCAGAGGTAGCAAGCTGTTCCTTCCCCTGGCCTTCAAGCAAGGACATATATCTGACTCAAAAACCCAAGAGGACAGTCTTAAGCAGAGAACTCTCCTTGTCTTAGGAAAGATCACTGGCCTACAATGACAGATGCTGGCACACTTGCTACCTAAAAATCAGTCCTGAGACTTCCTGCCTGGCATTCAGGATCCCAAACTACCTCCCACTATTCCTTGAGACTCTCTGAATCTATACCAGTCACTTCATCTCAACCTACCTTATAATGTTAATCAGCTATTTTACACAGGTAGGTTTTGTCTTTCTAACTATGATTTAAGAGCTAAAGAGCAGGGCCCTTGTCTTATGTATTTCTTTTGCATTATCCTTAGCACCTAAGGCAGTGCTGAGCAGAAAGTGGGCAACTCAACACGTATTTTTGTATATTAAATTCCAAAGCATCTACTCCCATGTCTAGTGTATCAACAAAAGTGATCTCCTGGAGAGCTTGCTTCCTTTTAAATGTCATGTTTTAGCATGAGGTGTCTGACAAAACTTGTTTCTGTTTCTTTGGGTCTGATTTTAACCTGTTTGTGGGACTTCACAAAGTATTTCAAACATCAGACACATACCCTTGACAGAGAGTGGGCTTGGGGGGAAACTCCTCAGGGCAGAGTGTGGACTCAGCAGCCTGCCCCTGGCCCAGGGCCCTGTCCCAACTGCTACGTGACACCTCTGTCTCTGTGTGGAGAAGGGAAAAGTGCTTGCGGTTTAGGATCCTGAGGTGCGATTCCCCGAAGTCTGAGAAAGAGGAAAAAGGAACAAAGAACCACAAGAAAAAGAGCATTAGAATTTTGGGGATCGATTTTTATTTGGGCTTCTCACAGTGGTTAGAGCCACTCTGTCTTCAGAACAATCACAGCACAGGAAATGCGTCACCGAGACTGCCCAGAAAAGTCTGACCAGCTGAATCTTATTGCTTAAAATACACATATTCACAACTGACAAATGGTGATGCGCCTCACACAGGAATGTTAGCATTTGCAAATCTTCCGACTGTAGCACCAAACCCTCGACGGACCCCTTCCTTCTCATTCACCTGGAAAACCACACTCAATCAAATCTCCCTGGCCCCCCGACTATTCCTTCAATCCCCTTTTTCCGTCTTTCTGAGCAGGGTAGCCTCTCGTAGCAGGGGCCAGACTGTGCCTCGGGAATCAAGCCCAGCCCTGCAGGTTGTATTTTGTCTTCTCTTGCCTTTAGGGTAGGACGCTGCAGTGAATCCACTAGCTGATACTCAGACCAGTTCCCCAGTTCTAATTGGGGAAAGAAACTTGAGAGGGTCAGAGTTCATCCATTTGATCAGTTAACTGAAGGAGGATTCATTTTGGTAAAACTTGTTCTCCTTTGAGACACTTCAGTGAGTTACTTGGATTTTCTTTTAAAAAGGTGGAAGGGAAGGCATCTGAGGGTTGCTAACGCACTCTGGCCGACTCTGGCCACACACCAGCTTGCTTGCTTGTGTCCGCTGGACTCAGCAGAGGGAGGTAAGCCCTGTGGTGTCCCCCAAAGCCTCCCCCTGGCAATTCTGGGCAGGGCCGCTGTCTGGGCCACAGGTAGTGCAAGCTTGTCACTGAAGATCCAGTCAAGCTTCTGTCTAAAATTCCACCTTCACCTTCTTTCCCAAGTGGTTGTGGACACCCCCGGAGACTGATACCGAGGGCCAGGAGCAGCCGAGGGAGGCAGACAGGTTCGGAGCACGTTTCCATTTACAGGGAACAGAACACAGGCCTCCGAGTGTCCATGGAGCAATGTGCAAATTGCAGTGACGAGCAGAGTAAAACCTCTACTTCAAGCACAGTATCTCTGGCAAACAAAGGGGGACTGCCGTTGACAATGCTACTGAATACACCCGAGTACAGAGTCAGACATTTGTTCAGTAAACAGTAAATGTGTAAAATAAATTACCTTGAGAGGGCCGTCTGTGCTCCCGACGTGTGGGTCACGTGAACAGAATGGCTGCCACTCAAAGTATCTTCACAGGAAAACAGGGCTCGGGGCTCACACACAACAGACACACACACACACACACAAACACACACAGGGGTCACCCAAAAAGTCACTGTGTACGGGCTTCACTTTGTTCAACATGAATTTTGGTTTTGTGGAATCCAAACGCAGACATTGTTCACCTCACAGCCTTGGATTTGTCTGTTTTTGGAGATATATATATATATATATATATATATATATATGTATATTTTTCTTCTTCCTTTCTTACCATAACATCAATGCCTTGTCTGAATGTCATCATTCAAGAGTGGGGAAAGAACCAAACTCTTCACGTGAATAGGGCTGTATGGGGAATGTTAGTTTCGGCTGTTTGCTTTCTCCATTTGGATTATTCCTAACCAAGCTCAACTGGTCACCTGAAGCCAAACATTGTCCTAAGGATCCTGCGGCCTTCTGGATGGCCGCTCTCACCTCCTACCTGGGCCACTCAGACTCTTCACATAGGCTACAGAAAAATGAGGTGCCCACTCCAAAGTGGTAGTGGCAGGGACAGGGCAGGAAAACCACAGATACCTAAGGTATTTCTTCCAAGTGGTCATTTTAAAACAAACAACAACAACCGCGTCCCCCACCCCCCAAAAAACTTATTCAGATCAAAGACAAAATACTGTGTGAGAGCCAGGCTGTGGGGTTGCCCTTTCTCAGGCCCCACAGCTTCCTCGGTCCATTTGTTCACATGGAACAGGGAGACGGCAGAGTGTGTTCTCTGCTGATGCTGGTCACCTGTGGGCACAGACCGAAAGGCAGAGATGCAGAGAGCAGCACCTCTCCCCACAGCCACTGGGGCCTCCTGCCCACAGAAGTCCCAAAGATAACCCCCAGCCAAGCCTTCACACAAAATATCTCCCCTCTGGCTCAAACGCAGCCGGGATCTTTGAAGGTCAACTTGGGAAAGAGCCACAAACTTTCCTCTTCCAGAAGAGAATTTTTGCGTGCCCACTGGTAACATTCTTGTTTTCAGCTCTTTTGTTGTTTGTTTTTAAAAGAAAAACCAAAGAGAAGGCAGTATAATCTTCTACACCTGAACCAGTCTGCAGCCAGGGAGAGGCTGTTGGGAAGGGGCCCATCAAGGATGCACACGGTGCATCTATCTTGTCACCTGGAATTTGAGATCAGCAAGCCTCCTACCAATCTACCATCAACTGCCCATCAGCTCTCGTCGTCCCATAGGATTAGCTCAATTCTGGCTCTGTAGACCTTGGCAGCCACAGGTAACAAACCCTGGGCCTCTGTGGGCTTCCTTCTTCACTCAGGGCCAAGATGGGCTGCCTCTCCTGGGCTGAGACACAGCAAAGTTCTCTTAAACTATTATCAGAGCATAAATCCACTCCATCACCAAGAATCATCTCAGGGCACAGTCCCAGCCTCCGTCATTGGGGGCTTTGAAAACACATCTCTCTCTGACCCAAACAGGTAGGTGAGATATGACTTAAAATGAGGGGGTGAGTGTGGGGTATGAGGAATGAGTCACAGAACCAAATTCTCATCCTTCCACAACACGGTGCTTTTGTGGGGGAAGAGGCATCCACACCCCGAACTGTACCTGGAGATGTAGGAAAATGCAGGAGAGAAGGAAAAAAAAAAAAAAAAGAGGAACAAAGTGGCTGTACCACTTTCTCTGAAAGTCACTTAATGCTTCTCTTGTGGTTCTCCCCGACCCTGATTACTTTGCCGAGTTCTTGAGCACAGGCAGGGCCTGCTCTAGCTGGGGGAGCTGCTGCTCTGGGAGTTTGGCGAGTCCTGCTCGTTGATGGTGTTCAGCAGCAGGCATGCGGGCGGCCGTGGCAGGTGGGGGTGCCCAGGCTCTCGGGCCTGCTCCTCGGAGGGCTGGCAGAGGCCTTCCTCCTCGTCACCAGGAGGCCGCACATGGCAGCTGTCACAGAAGTCCAGGGGCCCATCCAGAGCATCATCGATGAGCGTGTTGAACTCTTTGAGGTCATCATCATGGTGGCCCCGGTTGCACACACACACTTCGATGCCCGAGTCACCTGTAAAGCGGCGATGTCTCCCAGGTGTCTTGTCTTTGTTGTCGGGGAGTGCACTGCCATGCTCAGAGCTGTAATCTTTCAGCAGCTCCTCCTTACATTCTGAATCCTTGTCCAGGAAGGGTCCTGGGTCCAGCTCCCCCAGGCCAGCCACGGAGCCACTGGGCTCCATGCCAGGGGCTTTGGTGGCTGCTTGGTCAGCTGGCAGGTCAGAGGGCTCAGGGTCAGCGATGCTTGGGGGTCTTGTGCTGCTTCTGCTGGGCCCAGACAAGGGGCTGCTCTGTGCCCCTGGAGAACCCCTGGTGGGATCAGCGCCTGGAGGGCTGCCACCTGCAGGGCCACACTGTAGAGGCAACTGCTGCTGCTGTAGCTGGAAGGCACTGTATGGTGGGGGAGGAGTTGGAGGTCGGTTCACCACTTCCTCATAAGGAGGTAGTAAATAGTTTGGCAAAAACCCTAAAATGGGGAGGCAGGGAGAAGAAATTACTGCACTGGCAATTGTCCTAGGATAGATTGCAAAGCGCCCACTAAATATGCATTATCTCTTCCACCCCAGCATACCCACCAAGTGTGAGCAACTCTGCAGAGGAGGGACAGTATGGGCGTGACCTGATCTGGTTTCTTGGAATCTGAAGAGTCCCTAAAATTGGTTGGCTCATAGGCAAGGACTTCCTACCTGTCTGGAGTCAAGGCAGAGGATTAGGCAAATGTAGTGGGTGGCCAAGATAACTTCTGCCTGGAACAAACCTGTTTCCACACACACACGTCTCGTGTGTCTAGCTCAGACTGTGTCCTCTACCTAAGTCCCAGAGTCTCATGTTTCTTGCTCAGACTGTGTCCTCTACCTGTCCCATAGGTCTCAGGGTCAGGGACCCTAATTTAGGACTTCCTGACCACTTTTCTTTCCCCTACCCTTCCAGATGTGCCAGGAAGAGGGTCTTTTTCTGGGAAGTTAGAAATTTGTGTTCTCTCTCTCACTCTGGCATGGCTGGAGGTGGTATGCAAAGACACACCGAGCTTTACCTTGACTCAGATCAGGAGCAGATGGGTGGCCAATGAAGAGTAAAGGGCCTCTGTCATCCAAGCCTTATTAAAAACATGCCAGGTGAACTATCTGTTGAATGTGCTGAAATCCTTGAGGAACAGATGATCTAGTTTTAACAATAATTACTAGAGTTTATTGAACATTTACTATATGCCAGCCACCATGCTAAGCACTTAACCCTTCTAGATGTGGAATTAAAACAACTGCGAACGTTTTATTTTGTAGGATACACTGGAAAGGTCTAGTTGCTTCAGGGGACCTGTGTCCATAGCCCCTGCTTCCCTGTGCTGAAGCACCCCTTTTTCCTTTTCTTTTTGAACCCTTTTTTTTTGGGGGGAAGGGGGGGGTTGACCCCCCTTGCCCCCGGGGGCCTTCCTTGGGCCCCGGGTTTCGTTTTGGGCCTTTGGTCTGTGCGCCGGAGCTCCCGAGGGTGGGGGACAGCAGCCTTGGGTGTACGTACTGAAATAAAATGGCAGCGCTGAGTAATTGTGGGCTTCCCGGTAGGCGATCAGGTTGATTTCATGTTGCCGCTGCTGGGCCTGAAGGCGGTGCTTGGCTCGGCGGTGGTGGCAGACGCAGCAGCAGCTCAGGATGATGATGATGGTCCACACTAGCCAGAACCCTGGGGGTGGGAGAGGTGAGACAGAAAGGATGCACCCACAGTGAGTACCAGCCAGTGCGGCGGCTCTCAGGACAAGGCGGTCCTGGACGGTGCCAACATGGTTGAAGCTGGCACTGTTGAGCCTAACGCAGTTAATTTACATTTAAGCCATGTGTTCAATTTTCATAAATATCTGTACTAGAGTGAAAGACACATAGGATGGAAGAGGGTAGGAATGTAAGAATGGTGACAGCAAAGGAGGTCACTCACTCCAGGGACCTTGGGGGAAGGGATGTGTGCCAAGGCCTCTCTCCAGCACTAGTGATTGGTCCTCCTGTATTTTAGGTTTTGTGGGCGTTAAATACGCTCACCTTTTAGGACAGCGTCCTCCTCCTCTCTAAGAGATCTCTGAGAATACGCTTCAGTCTTTCTTAGTGCCCATGTCCCCTCCCCACCAACTCAGAAGATTAGCAATTGCAAGGGACCTCAGTGGTACCTCCTGATAAAAGAATTCTTAGGGTTCTCCTGATATCACCAAAAAGATCAGGGGCTTTTCTCTACTGCGTATGCCGCCTCTGTAATGCAAGAATCACTACAGTTAGAGGTGGAAAAATTCTAATTGCCTCGGGTCCACCTCTTCCCTAGAGAGTGTAAATGACTTCCTCTGCTCTCAGTATAATCCTAATCCGGTACAATTCCATCTCCCACTGCCACATCAATCCACTCCCACCTGC